CATTCCTTTTTTTTTTTTTTTTTTTTTAATTATCAAGGCCCAGCCAGTCCCCTCACTCACATTCACAAAGCTCTTGGCCGTGAACATACCAAAGCCGTACCGCCATAGCTGTCGAATCCGGTGCAAGCTTTTCCATACGCCGCCATCAGAGTCAGACAGACGCTCTTTGAAAACGAAAGCCTTGCCATCAAATATGCCAAACCTGGTCTTGTCTCGTCCCGATCCCGATCTGGTCAGGTTCAATAGATCGACAAAGTGTGCGACATGACGATAATCGTCAGTGGCCAGAAGGTCGCCCACTTCGTAAACCTTATCCTGAACAGATAAGGAGGACAAAATTCTCCCGCCAATGGCATCGGATTTCTCAAAGACATGCACCTCACATGTTGAAACCAACTCGTCGTCGACGATACCCATGGCATTGCTCCATTGTTGTCTTCCCGCCTTTTTTCTTGCCCCTCCTGCCTCCTCTTCAGCTTTGCATCCTCCCGCAAATTCTCCCGCGCTTTTTCCTTCATGATGAGTGTAACTGAGTTTCCCGCCATCGCATGCGCTGTGGATAAAAAAGGCAGCGCAGCTTCCCGCCATTCCGCCGCCGACGACGCAGATCTTATCCTGACCGTTCGCTGCGGCGGTGATTGCCTGGCTGGCCATGATCAAGAGAAGACACGTGGCAGTCCGGATCCCGATCCAGATAGGACTGGCGGGAACAACCGTGGTCTTTCGTCCCGCCAAAATCATCGAAGACGACGGTGTCCGAAAAATACCGAGGCAGCTTCCCGCCATCTCCCTCCCTCCCTCCCTCCCTCCCTCCCTCTCTCCCCTCTCACACCGCAACGATCTATCTATATCTGTGCGCGCTGCTGCTGCTGCTGCTGCTGCCAAATCGCCGCAAACTCATACGACGACTTTCCTTTTGAACGTATCTGGCCGCAATCACGGACAGATGCAATCCAAAACAACAACCACAACAAAAAACAGGAACATTTCCCACCAGTGTGAACCCTCCACACAAAAGCCGGTCCAATACGGAATTCAAAGGGAATTTAAAGGGGGAAAAAAAAAAAAGCTTTCTTTAAAAGAAAAAAAAGAGGTGGGCTTCCAAGAGATAGCAAGAGGCAGGTCGCGTACAAAACAGACCTCCCAACAAAAAAAAATAAAAAAGAAATAGAAGAAGACGTAACAAGACGTGGTTTTGATTTAAAAAAAAAAAGAAAAAGAATACTGTAGAGATCAATCAATGACCCGGCACTTGCTCTGTGACACTTTCAGATCCATTACTGTGAAAACGATACATACCCACGTGTCATGCATACTCCCAGATAAACGTCTACATTCATTCCCCGACACGACGCATCTCCACCAGCTACGCTCCGGGTCTGCTTCGGGAGCTTGCTCTTGATCCAGAGCCGTGCGGCTACCTCCCTACCTTTTTTTATTTCTTTAAAAATAAAAATAAAAAATCTCCCTACTTTCTTTCTTTCTTTCTTTCTTTTTTTTTTTTTTTTTTTTTTTTTTTTKTAAATGGCCCGATGGACCACAGATCAGATATTAAACTGATCAGAACAGATACTACACTTGATCTTAACCAAAAGGCCGAGAAAGGTATTCTCTCTACTTTCCAACCTCTCAGTCACCCACATAAAAAAAAAAAAAAAAAAAAAAAAAAAAAAAAAAAAGAACCTCTCAGTCTGGAGGGGCGTCACGGCCCCTGGCCCTCCCTATGTACAGGGTAGTACATGGTACGTATTTTTTATATTACATCTAATAATTATGTTCGGATTGCACGTACATAATGAATGCCTAATAGCATGATGTACTATATATAGTAGGACTATAGTACAGCGTACGTAGCACGTAGTACATAGTACATAGTACATCGTACATAGCACATAGTCCATAGTCCATAGTCCATAGTACATAGTACATAGCACATAGTATATGTACACATAGTACATAGTACATAGCACATAGCACATAGTATATGTACACGTAGTACATAGTACATAGCACATAGTACGATGTACTATGTATGATGTACTATGTGCTATGTACTATGTACTAGTCCCGACTGTGACCTTTCTGAACTGGCCCAGTCTGGCCGACTGGGCCTCCCTTGGCCTGAGACCTTGACCCTGAAAGTCGAATTTTTTTTTTGGGGGGGGGCGTGCATCGTGGAATGCCTTTCAGTAGAACTGACTGACATCTCGTTCAAAACTGACATTTTTTCTCTAACTTCACGAATTTCACATTGACGTTACCAAAAAACAGCATGTTTTTAGTGTTACTGACATCTCTCTTTACAACTGCCATTTTTCTCTAACTTCACCAATTTCAAATTGACCTTACCCAAAAACATCTGACAATTTTTTTTGTGTTTTTTTTGTCCCCATGACGTCGGATGATCGGATCTGATCGGATCAGCGGTTGTCGTGGCAACTCCGGACGATCTGACGGACGGATGGACGGATGTATGTTAACGGTACTTTACGTTGAGGTACATCAGATGGATGGACAAAGTGAGATAACCACTTTCTCACCCAATGAGCTACGGAATTTTCACGAAGTCCACTTTCTTGAATATAGAAGACAAAAAAATGTCAGTTTTAACGGAATGTCAGAGGGCATAGTACCGTCGGGCGTGTGCAAAGTAAGATAATGGTAGTCGTCGTAGTAGCAATTATTGTGGATACAGAGCTCAGCATAGTTGGTGCTATACTAGTGCTATACACTAGTATACTAGTGTAGCGCACTAGTATACAGCAAGAAGATGCAAAGTCAGATAATGGTAGTCGTCCTAGTATAGATATAGCAAGAAGATGCGTCCGGGGGCCAAGTGCCACTACCGGTGGCAGCGTTGATCTACCTCAAGGCCTGAATCTGGACGCTTTTGTGTAGAAATGGTGTTGAGTTTCCTGAACTGCACGTCTCCACAAACACGTCCAGATTCAGGCGTTGAGGCAGATCAACGCTGTTAGTGGGACTTGGCCGCAGGTAAAACATGGACAAGCATCGTAGCGACCTCGTTCTTTTTGTAATTGAAAAAAAAAGATGCTTTTTTTTCTAACGTGTTCGGGAAAAGCAAGGGTGGGGATTTTGTCTTTTTTTTTCCTTCTTCTTTTTTTTTTCTTAACGATTATTAGCTACTAAGCTGACTCCAGCAGATACTGCACTTGATCTTGGTATAGTCAGTTTAATATCTAATAATAGTTAACGAAAAAAAGACAAAATCGTTAAGGAAAAAAAGGCCGAGAAAGGTATGGGGATCAACTGAGACGGGAAGGTCGAGAAAAAAAAAAAAACAAATCGGGACCAGAATCATGAATGTGCGAAGCAGCCTCGAGGGTAGTAATTCGGTGTTTTTTTTTTTGTTTTTTGTTTTTTTTTTTTGGGTGGGAACGCGGAGAGACAAAGAGTGTAGCGGTTTCAACTGTGTAAGCAAAGATTAGGATTAGTTAGTTTACCTGTTTTTTTTTTCCCTTCTTTTGTATTTTATATATATAGAATTATTTAATATTTATTAAATATTTGTTAGTAAATATTTAATCTTTACTATTTAATGTTTACTTAAGCTGGATTTCTAATAGCTTCGACTTCTGCAAAAACGATTCGTTATTAAAAAACGATGCCTTACACATACAGCAAGATCGAAAAATCAAGACACAAATTGACAATGGAAATATTGAATCAATTGTTTTCTTGAAATTAAGATAGATAGATCTGCCGAAAAGAGAAGAAGCATCGCACACACACACACAAAAAAAAAAAAAGCATGTCTGAAGGCTCTTGGTGTTGGTGTTGCGCGTCAGAGAGGAAGAAGATTTGCCGCATCATTTGAAAATGGCGCACAACACAGTGAAAAAGGAAATGGAGCACAACACAGTGAAAAGGGGTAATATAGTCAAGTTATAAAAATAAAGTAAAATAAAATAAAAGGGTGGGGTGGAG